TTAAACCTGTAGACATCAACCTTAGTTGATTGGATTCAGATAAACCTTAATGAAGGAAAACTGTTTCTTTGCCAAAGACTGTTTTTTCTGTTCTAACATAGTCTTATTTATTAATTTGCTGGGCATAGTGTATTTATTTGAAAGTATATATGTTGTCTGTAAAACGCGGTTTTCCAGCTGTGCTAGCGGTGCTGTGGTGACTGCAGCTTGTCCAATTCGTCTTTCCTTGTCCCTCGATGGTGTCCTGCTGCTGCACAACCGATAACAGATCAATAAATTAATCAAAACCACTCTGCCTCTGATCCCTTCATTGCAAAACAAAATAGTTCACTTTTTAACAGTAAAAAACACTTTATTGGATAAAAAATTCTTTTCAAATTTCTGCTTTGCTTTCATTTCAAAATGTCATGAAATCAATCAGCAGAAAATAACAAAAGCACCTTTTTTGTAGAAGTTTTTATGCTTTTGTTCTGTATTAAAAAAACAACCAAAACAAAACATGATTTTTGCCATACAGAGTAAATGCTGTGTTTGTTTAATCAGTGCCAGGCTGTTCTCCTGCCAAGGACGCGGTTGGTGATTCTCTGAAAGATCCAAAGAAAAGCAGCAGGTCAGTTATTTCCCCCACAAAGCTTCACTAATGGTCAGAAGTTGATGACATCTGCTCACAGATGTTTTTTTATATTCTAAAATGGAAAGTAGCGCAGCTACCTTATTGAAAAGCTGGGCGCTCAGTCTGTACGACTGATACTCTGCTTTCCTTCTCTCCTCCTCTCTCCTGCGCCGCACCTCTGGAAGGTTTTCATAGATTCTGTTGCAGTGAAAGGACACATCAGTTTGTGAATCAAACTTCCTGAGCGTTTCCTAGTTAAATCTATGATCTCTGAACAAAGTGAACTTCTTTGCTTACTGCTTGGACCTCTGGATCATTTCCTTCCTGGGTACTGCTCTCCTCAGCATGACATTACCTTCAAAGGTGGAAAAAAAAAAACATCCACTGATCAACCACTGACTATCAGGGAATCTATAAATCTGGTTTTTAGAGACAAGAAAATAAGAGTCTCACGTCCTGTTTGCAATAAGCATGTAGGAAACAGCAAACAGGTGGAAGACTCTTTGATACTGTAGGAACCCAAAGTGAATATTATTCAGACGGAAAACTAAAAACCTGAATTCTAATCCTCTGAAACATGGCGATGGCAACATCATGCTGTTGGGAAGCTTTCTTCACAGCAGATAAGATTTGATGGAAGGATGGATGGTGAACAGGTCAGAACCTTTACCTTTCAATAGGACTAAAGATCTGCAACGGCCCAGTCAAAGTTCACACCTGTATTTGGATATTCCCAGAAAGCTTTAGCTGTTTTTCGGGAAATTGTATAGGCATTAAGTTCAGTCTGTAGCTTTCAGAAGTAGTGCCTCATTTTGGGGTTGACATGTGATGCAAGGTGAAAGTGGTGTGAATACTTTATTAAACTTGGCAGCAGAAGCAGTGGTTGCCTGGATACCTGCAGACTTCAGCAGCCTCCCAAGTTCCCCCGGCTGGTTGTACAGCCGCCGTCTGTCTCGGCCGAGCGTGGCCTGTAGCCTCCGCTCCTCGGCCTGCAGCGCCAGTCGTCTCACCCTCTGCTTAGATCGACAGATAAACTCCGGCCGACGCATCTCCAGAGCCTCCTGCATGGGCGGTCCGATGCGTTAGAGATATCTCACATCAAACGCTGCAAACCTGAATTATTTTTATGTTTCTAAGGAGATCAAACTAAACTAACCTGCAGGGTGACGCGTACGAGCCCAGAGTGAAAGGTTTTGCTTTCAGGATGTGGATCTTGCTCAGGATGGTTGCTGCTGTCCTCGTAGACTTGTCTCTGTCTGAGCGGCTCTCTCCATGGTCGGACTTGGCTGTAGGGCTCGAACCACGCGGTGGATGGTTCCTCTGGACGGTTCTCTTTCCTTGTCTCAGACCTCAGGTTGTCGACAGAGATAAACCATGAAACACCTCAACAACAAGACAAAAAAAACAACTTCAAACGTCTGGACCAATTAAAACCTCCAAATGCACACAAAGGACATAAGGTGACACACAACAAATATTCCCACTTTTCCACATTCTAACATGTCAAACCAAAATGGCAGTGTTTTAGACCAACTTTATTTCCAGTCCTCCCGAGTTACCTTTAGGGTAAGGCTTAGAGGGGCTCCTTTTGCTCTTCTTCTGCTTCTGACTGTTATTAGATTTAGGAATAAGTCTCCGGCCTCCTCCTCTTCCTCTCACTGTGCTCGACGAAGAGGAAGAAATCCGCTCAAAAGCTCCAGCTTCTCCAGGAGATGGAAACGTGGTCCCAACATCTCTAGTGTGCCGTCGAGTCCCGTTACGAACAATCTCCAGCTCTCCTGAGGTTGCAGGGTAAAGATGGGAAACCTTACAGTTTAATTATAGCATTTTATATTTTATGACAACCAGAGCGCTTTAATTCAATGTGGAATGTGGAAGAGTTGGGTTGAATACATTTCACAGTCTACAAGGTTAACCTTTACGTTTAACTCATTCTGGTTTGCTCTAGTTTTCCTAATCCATCCTTCAGCTTGCTTATGGGCTCTAGACACAACTCCTGTTTCCTACCTTTCATTACTGGATGATCCGATTAATCCAGGTGTGCCTGGCTAATGTCTTCATGGTTACTGAGGTCCGGCACACCTGGATTAATCGGATCATCCAGTAATAGAAGACAAGAAATTTCAGGAAGTGGGAGTTGTGCAAAGAGGAGGTATAAATGAGAACGGGACACCATCTTCCCTCCAACTGAAAAGCAAGGCAGTTGTAGCTATGGCAACACAGCGATGCTCCTGTGCGTTGCTGTATCTTTGTGGCGCAGGTTAATATGACCTCAAACATTAGCCCCTGAAACACTGAAAACTTAAGATGTTTTCTCTGATCCTCATCATCGAAACTGAAAGTTCAGCATCCACTGACCTGCCTGAATGCATTTGTTGACCGTTCTTGTGGCTCTCTTGGTTGTCAGCGCCCTTGAAGGACCGTGGGGCGGCGAGACGGTGCTAGATGTTGATGCTGTATCAAGAACCTGAGGGGGAAATTTAAAAGAACTTTACAAAGACCTGATGTTTGAAGGCTGTGAAATAATTAATGTTAGCAGAAATATGTTTCAAGCGTCTGATATTACAGCTGGTTCCTTTTAATGATGAAATTATAACAACTGATTTTATCTAAATATTAAAGCGCTGCAGACATGAGGACTTAAGTTTGGAGACTGACGAACCGATTGGTCTGTGCAGGTTGTTGCTGATGGAGTGAGAGTAACAGAGTCCTCCTCCTTTGTTCCTTTGCGCCGTTCCCTCTCCTCCCTCTGCTTGTTGATGGCGCTGTACAGTTTGCTGAGGTTAGAGTTGCTTCTCAGGTGCTTCACTCTGTCAGCGCCGAAGGCTCGGATGAGTCGTGCCGTGTCCATGGTAGATGTAGAGCCGGACACAGTGGAGAGCCTCTCTGGTTGATCTCTGTCTGCAGAAGGAAATGGCTGGTTGTGGATGTTGGAGACGTAGGTCTCCTTTTCTGCGTCTCCTACTTTTCGTCCCGTATTGTTCCGTTTAACCTCCTCCCTGTCTCTCAGCGTCCTTACAGGAACGTAATAACCCGGCCCTCTGTGAGAGTTCTGAATCAGACGAGACAGATGCTCTAATCGCTCCAATATGGCCTCTTTATCCCTGGTGGGGCGCGGCTCCTCCCTGTTCCACTCATCACAGAACCTCTGCCACAGGTGGTCCAGGGTGTCGCTGCTCTGTTGAGGGGGCGGTGGAAGACGGTCGTCCTCGGTTTGAGCTGGATGGAACCTCTGATGAGTCGGCTCTGCTTGCTTGTAAGGGAGAAACTGGATGGGGCTGGTACCCTGATCCCTCTTAGACGCTTTGGTGTTGACAGTTGAAGGAGCTCCAGAGACGGAGTGACGGATTGACTCCTGGGAAGATGGCTTCGCTGTTGGGCTAAAAGCTGAAGACCTTCTGATCGCTGCTTCTGAAGCATCTGTCAACAAATAAGACCCGATCTAATTATTTCAGGTTCCTGCATGATCTCCATGTCAGGCAGTCACATTGTCTCCTGTCTAATAGAGTCGGTACCTATGTGATCCAGCGTTCTCTGGACGTTCTGTCCTCGATCTTCCATTCTGAACGTTCTCAGCCTTCTGCTGTAGATGCCCTCTTTGTGTCTGATTGCGATTCCGCGGTCCAACCCTGGATCCTGATCCCCTAGGACCTCGCTGTTGAATCTGGGAGGCACCGCGTCATCTGATCCTGGTGGGAATTCAACGATGCTCAGTTACATTACCACGACAACACACATTCCAATTAAACAGAGACAAAGAAAACAGCCTGATATGTACAGCTAGGACCCAAAAACAGTGTTTTAAGTTGCAGCACGGCTAAAGTATGCTCCACCTGCAGCTCTGCCTTTTGTTCGCCTCTGCCCCGGAACATGAATAATGGATGTGCTGTCTGGTGTGTGTTACAATAGACCACCTGCTTTCGTAAAACCTGAGAGGAGCCTCCTCAGCAACAAACTGCTGGTTCTCCTCAGGCAGACTTTACAGAACAGGAAATATCTTCAATAGGAATTAGCATATAAATAAATATATCTAAAGTCAATCTTCACTGTTTAACTAAAATATTTACAGTTATTAAACTGATATCACATAAAACAATTCTATGAATTTTACAGATATAAACTGCAGAGCACCTGGAGAAAGAAGGTTTAGTCATATTAAACACAAAGGTATCGGTACAAAAAAAAACAAAAAAAAAACCTGGATTGGTGCAACTCTAGAAACATTACAAAAGCATTGTTATGAGTCAGAATGGCCTAGTCAAAGTACATTCTACCGAGCATCTGTGGCAAAACCCGAAAATCTATGTTTTGAAATGCTGGGTATCCAGTGAGACAGAGTAAAGAAGAGGAACAAAGAGAGTTTTAATGTGAAAACTTTAACAATTGCTTAAAAACAATCACAAAACTCCATTTAACCTGCAACAAAAAGTATTCAAGCAGCCTCATTCCAAAAAATTATGCAAAGACCAGTTTGTCATCAGGTACGTTAGAAAAAAATTGTTTGGTAACACCAGAAATATTTGCATTTTGCATTCGACGTTACAGCTCCACACAGATGCTGCATCCTGACCTGCCTTGTTCTCCGCACCATTTTATCTTCACACATAAAAGCCAGGTTTAGTTTTACTGGAATTTAAATGAAGACATTTCCATTTGTGTTGATTTGTTTCCTCAGAACTCAAACCATGAATAAAAGACCAAAGGACTCATTAAAAAGATTAAAAAAAAAAAAAAAACACTATGAAGGTAAGGAGGGTGATGTAGAATAAACACAAAAGGTTTCAGTCAGTTTTTGTTTAATTTCTCAGACACAAAAAGGTGAGACGTTCTGGGAGCATTTCTGACAGGCAACCTATATGGCTGCCCTAATGAAGTGTGACACAAACCTACCAGTGTGAGTGCTCTCCATGCTGGTGTCTGACTGGTTTGAGGAGAAGTCAGCCTCTGTCTGTGGGACGTAGAAGAGCTCCTCACTGCCTCGAGGTTTGTAAGGCAGCAGTACAGGATATGCTGTGGGACAGAAGAGTGAAGTCAGAGGTTGTTTCAGTTATTTCTTCCAGGTTTTTAGTGAAACACCTCCCTGTAAGCCTACCTGGTTTTAGAGTGGTTAATGCTGCAGATCTGCGTTGCTGCGTGAGGGACGGTGATGATGCAGGGATCCCTTTTCTCCGAGCTGCTGTAGAAGCATCTAACCTGCACCAATCTGCTGGACTTGACGAGCCGACGCCTTCGTCTGGACTGCTTGCTGCGGGAGGGGAGCCTCTAATGGCGGCAAAGTCCACCGCGTCATGACGGTGGACGGCAGAGACAGATGTGTTTGCTGTTGATTTAGGGAGGAGAGTGAAATGGAGGTTTGGGGGACGACTCGTCTTGAAAGCCTGGTTTTCTTTATGACTGGGAGAAAAAGAACCGGTCTGGACTTTTGGAGCGTGTGCTCTGATGTCTGGTTCCTTTAAAGCCTGTGAGGTTGGAGGAGGTTCCTGATCCTGGCTGCTTTTTTGAGACGCCTTCTGGTTTTGTTTACTTTCCTCAGACACAGAAGGTTGTTTTGTTGTCGTTCGGGCTGAGGGAAGCCTCTCTGCTTCTGTCTCATCTGTTAGAAGATGCTGGATGGATGATGAGGATCTGACTGTTCCTGAGGGAAGCTCTGGGAGGCGGAGGGCTTGTGAGGATGAGCTTAGAGGAGGTGCAAAGGGGGATGAAGATGAGGGGGTCATAGAGGGCCTGTCGGTGGAAACACTGATGGATGAGAGCGGTTGAACCCTTTTAGTAGGGAGTGATAATCCTTCCCTAGCAGCTATCTCACAGACTCTGGCTTCTAGATGGAGGTGCAGGATGTTGTGATGTGTGTGAGGGTCTGGGCGGGCCGCACTGAGGCCAAGCTGCTTTTTAGCGACGTTGAGGGTAGAAAATGCTTCAGTGTCCTTTTTAGTGATCCCAGTGCTGGACGCTATACTGCCATCTGTATCTGTGCTTCCTTGGCTCTAGGAGGTGGAAATAAAACAAAAAGGGTTTAATTGTGATGTCCTCAGAACAACATTAATATAAAACAAATAAATTTAACTTATCCCACAGCAAACATGGACCCACAGCAACTTTTAAAAGTACCCACACATGTCACTATGCAACCACAAACTATGTTTTATTATAAAATGTAAAGTGGAATAAAAAAGAAACAAGTAGTTTTTATTTTCATAGTGTGGCATGAGTTGGTATTTAGCCTCTGAGTCGTTCTTAAAGAACTACCTTACCAACTAAAAGCTAGGCATGCACCCATCCCCTTTTTGTCACGTCTGATCCAATTATGATACTTACAGTTGGATATCTGCAGATTCCTGACTTTCCTGATACCGGATCTGTGGTTGCCTTAAAGTTATTATCATTCCTGCTAAACTCCTCTCAACAACCAAGTGTATGTATGAAAGAATACATGCATGTTCGAAAGGGTGACTTGAGATTAATATAGTGTCAGAAAATAAGCAGGACATATTCCACCCTGAAAACAAATAATCAGCAATAAGGGTTGAAAAGGACTGTATTTCATAAATCAAAGGTTAAACGTTCCTTAACCAAACTAGAATTTATTAATAGAAATAGACTGAATATATCTCATCCTTTGGATCATAAACAATACTGGTCTCAGGGTCTCTACTAAAAAATGGGATCTCATTCTTCAAAATAACTAAAGCTCATTACAACCGATCTTCAAATATCTGAGAGAATGAGGTTTGAAGCTTTCCGACTGATTTCCAATTTCCAATAAGATTTATGTCCGGTCTTTGACTGGGCCGTTTTAGGCTCCGAGCTAAACTGCTGTGACTAGGGGTGTCCCAATACAACTTTTCCATTTTTTATATGATACCGATATTGCAGCTTTAAGAATTGGTTGATACCGATATTGACCCGATACGATATTAGCAGTTAGCATACCGGCTTTTATTACTGATTTCATTCTGTAGAATGTTAGAAACAGCTTGATCAAATCATATTACTAAAATGGAACAAATGTCAACAACAAAAGGTATGAAAACAACTGACCCATGTAAAATTAACTGATGCATAAGAGAAACCTTAACAGAGCATTTCTATTAGGGACAACCTTAACTCCGACTTTACTTTTAAAGTTGTAGTCCTACTGAAAGCTGAACCTCTTTCTCCGCCTTCCACTGTTTCTATTGTTTAGCTTTATAAATCTTCATATCAACTACGCAACCCTTACTTTTTGTTTAACATTGCAGGTGCTGTACTCTGAATGACTATGACCACTGTTCTCTAATGGTTTAACAGTAAAGAAGGCTGCATATTTATACACAGCATTACTGGCAGATTTTTAAAAGGATTGTTTTATTTCTGATATACTTTATGCCTGACCTTGTTTTGTTTTAATCCACATAAAGAATCTCAAAGTTGTACAAAAAGATAATTCTAGCAATTCAAATATATTTTCTAGTTGCTTTGCAAAAAAATGGTGTTTTGCAAAGTTAATTAAACCCAATATTTTACACAGCAAACGTGGAACACATCTATTCAATTAATGGCTGGCACACTTTGCAAGACACGGTTTACCTGGAGCAATGAGACCTACACTGTCCAGAGGTGGAAAGCTGACATCAGAACAACAAATATAAAAACATTAACTGCAATTTGTAACAGAAAAATGTTATGGTTTCTCCTCATGGAACATGGTGAGTTACCTTCAAAGGGTTTCTCAACAGGAGCTCTTTCTTGATTTCCTCAATACGTCTTCTGTCTTCTTCATCCAACTGCAGCGGCTCACCCTGCCGCTCCCAAACCTTCGACATCATCCCTTCTGAAATGTTGAAACATATTTATATATAACTTCTTATGCAGCCAGTGGATGAGCAGAGCAAATCAAAGAGGGGGAGTTAAAGAGGAAGGAACTGAACCAATCAGAAGTCGAGCTGATTCCCGATCTTTTAACATCTATAAAATATGAAAACGGCATTGAGGCAGCCATAAAACAGGTAACAGCATTGCTGTTATCCGCTAAAAGTCTTGCTATCTCTGTATTTTAACATAATTGCTCTTGTTAAATAGCTTCATACAAACTTATTTTAAACACATAACTCACCCCTATTTGATTAAATAACCCTATCTTAATTAAAAAAATAAAAAGAGGAACTTTCTAATATGCTGAGTTAAAAAAATGGTACATCATTATATTTGAATAATTTACTGTTCCCCTGTACTGAATAATGACTGAAATAATGACAAAATGTTTTCATGCAAATTATTAAACTTACCGGTATAAGCTGAAATAGGAACGTATTAGGTTAGTGAATAAAAACAAAACACTAGAATAGGTGAAACACTTATTTCCAGTGTTTGGAGATGTAAAACTGTCATTAAAAGACAAGGTAAGTCGCTCCGTCATACTGTCAGACTTTATAATGCAGTGGAGGCTGACTGTGATATAGTTTGTTTTTGGTGTAATCCAACAATCTGGTGGAAGAGACTTCAAAGTTTTGAACAGGTGGTTCTCATTGCTCTCAGAGGAATGAAAGTGAAACCCTAAAATCATAAAAGCAGTCACCATCTACAGTGCTTATTGCCAACATATCTTTTTCTTCTTTACAACTTTGTGCAATGTCCTCCACTTTTCTCTCATGATGGACTCATGATTTTTGGGGTGAGTTACACTTTAAGGGTAACAAAACTAGCTAAATTCTATCCCTTCTACTATCAGTAATGACATCCATGTAATAAAACCTGCAATTAGAGCAGCCTGGTTGTGTTTATTAATATACTGATTGGAGGTAAAAAAAAAAAAAATCTGATTATTGTCTTTCTGAGCAATATTTAGTAATACTTTCATCAAAGGACAAGAGGACGTGGATCTTTTACCTTTGGTTTTTCCCTCTTCCTGATCTGTGACGCTGGGTGAGCTGGATGCCATGGTGACAGGAGACTCCTTCTGCAGTAATTTGGCCACTCTGATTGTTAGCGAGTTCTCACTGCTGCCGTCGCTTAGCACTTCCTGATTGGCATCCTCATGAACAGGAGAGGAAGAGCGACTCTGAGCTCCAGCATCACTAGGTGTGACCTTTTCCTCTTCCTCTGCTTCCCCCGCTATGTCTGCAGAAGTCAGATTCATCTGCTGCGTGTCTGCAGCTGTTGAAGGCTGTAATGGGATTTTATCTGGGGGAGCGGCACTACACCCCTCCGGCTCTGTCCGTCGGGGTGGCTTGGATGTTCCAGCGCCGTTACCGACAGGAATACAGGCAGCTGGTGAGGCTGGATTATCAGGACGCCCAGGTGAGGTCAAACCTTCATGAGCAGCAGAGCTTTGCTGTGGTTTCTCAGCGGGAAGCATGGAGTCTGAGGAGGACCTGGCCCATGGCAGAGTGGAATGAGATTTGAGGTCTCCGCCTGTGGAGCTGGAGGAGGAGAGTAGGGAAGTTTGGAGCTTGCTGGTTTTTATCTCTGATGGCCTGAAAAGGTCTTTATCAGAGCAGAGACGGGATGTATTGGCTCCGGATGAGGCTGTGGAGGAACCCGTAGATATGATGTTCTCTGCTTGAGAGAGTAGTTTACGGATCTCGGACAATGCCCTCTCACTAACGAAGGAACTTTCTCCATCTTGATCCAAGTTACGGCAGCTCGGCAGCTCTGTGACTTTTCTGTCCGTATCGGCGATCTTCCCAGAGACAGAGGTAGATTCAGACTCGCCCCGCTGCTGCTTGGAGTTGTGAAGGATGGAGGAATGGGAGCGTTCATCAGACTGATGGCAGGAAACTGCTCTGCTTTCTATCGGAAGGACTTCTGTATCATGTGGAGAAGAAGCCCTCACTCTGACCTGCTCTGAAACAGACGCAGCTGGACCGAGACTGTCCAGGCTGAATGGGATGGATATACTGGAATCCACCGACAGAATGCTGGACCTGGAGAACTCGCCTTTATAGGGACTGCTACCTGAAAACAAAACAAAAGCATGTTCTTGTTTTGGCAGTTCAAATGATCACCATAACCACATCAGTGAATGCAGCATATAATCTCAAAGGACTGTTTGC